TACTAGATTAGAACTACTATTATTACATTAAAAAAAGGATTATATAATTTATTATTATTGTTATTCAGTAAAATAAATTCTGTCACTTTCTATAGAAGGGAGGGGTAAATAAAAATAACACATTAATGCCTTTGAAACATAACACAACAACTTAAATTGTACACATAACAAGCAAGTCTAGAATTTATTGTTGTGATAAAAGGGAATGGGGAGATTGATAGATCCTGTCTTTAAAAAGTCTAAAACACTTGTTAATGTTTAAGGTTCAAACACAACCTCTATGTTACTTAAAATGTTATTAAAAATATATACTTAATACACATTTTAAAAAACTTAATTAGTAGCATATAAGCTATTCCATCATCATCATCAACTTGCCTTTATCCCGTATGGAGGGTTGGCACAGTATGTGCTGCTCTTCCATACATCTCTATCAGCCGTCATATCCGAATCCACTCCTTTCTTAAGCATATCCTCTTTCACACAATCCATCCATACTTTCTTCGGTCTTCCTCTTCCTTTGTAGCCATCCACATTCAATCTTAACACTTTCAGGTTTATGTCCCTATCATCTTGTCGCATAACATGTCCATACTAACCTTTTGCTTCTCAATTTCTCCACCACTGGCGCTACTTTCAAACTTCCTCTAATATACACATTTATAACTATATCCAAATTCAAAGCTAAGCTATAAGCTATTCCACTATGTAATATTCAAATTTTATCCAAATCTGTTCCATTAGCAGTCCAACATCCGTTCAGAATTTTGAATATAATATTAGTAAAAAGTTAGGTAAAATTACAGTTTCATAATAGATTGAGATAAAATATTTTTAATCATCTAAGACGGATAACGCCATTTCCCTAGATATATCATCACTCATCATATTTGTGTCTTCATCATCACTTAACCACCAGCTATCATTGTTATCATTAATAAAACATAGAAACAAATCATCTTCATACGTTGGAAAATAATACTCTGGTTGATCCCACATTTTTTCTGGCAATTGCCAATGTTTCTTTTCTTTCAAATGCTTTTCAAGATTCTTTGCGTCATCAAACTTTGTATCACACGACCAACATTGTTTTAAATACACATGTCTTCGTATGAAATTGACTATTTTAATCTTGTGATAGAATGGTAAGTCGGTTGTTTTTTTCGTGAATGAGAAATCGTGTTTTTGCTCCATATGGTCGAGTATACTTTGGTATTCTGTTTCTCCATGATCACAGAGTAAACAAGTGATCAACGGTCCATTCTCCTCAGTCCACTGTGACCAATCAGGATCACTGTCAACATCAGAATCCTGATCACATTCTTTGTTTGCCCATTGCTTAGTTTTTTGTATATGTTGATGGTATTTCTTACATGCTTGATTTGTTGTTTTCGGTTTGTCACCTAAATAATTCACTAAGAAATATTTATCATACTCTTTGTTACCTGGATTTATTCTCTTATGGCCTTTTTTTCTCATGTGCTCTTTGAGAATCATTCGATCTTTAAACACACCTTCACAATAAATGCACTGAAGGTTTTTTAGTTTTAAAGCTATAAGATCTATAAGATCATCTATGAAGATTATATTTTCCGGCTTAGCGACATAAAAGTTATGCTTTTCGAATAAATGATTCAAATAACTTGCCCTTGTTGTGTTTGTTTGATTCCGACAAAATAAACATTCTCGCTCATAATTCTTGTCTTCCCTTTCAAAAGCATGTATTTCTAGAAGTTTTTCTAACCTTTTTTGAAGTAAATTGCTGCGTAGTTCCTTGTCCTCAGGGTGTACATCACTTAATAGATAATATTCTTCATTTTTTGACTGAGTACCGTCAGGTTTACTGTCCAACAACATTGTGGTACAGAAGTATGGCAGATCATGATCTGTAAATATATTTTTTAGTAGTAAAATTTGCCAGTAAACTAATTATAAGCTTTATTCTTATTGTTTTATATATTAAGAAGTTCACAAGTATTAGATTAGGCAGTTTTTAGGAATTTCATCAAATTATTATGGAACACTTAAGGTCACATATTGCAGATTCAAAAAAAGAAATGTAATTTTAAAAATATGTGACAACTAACCTTTTAACCGCATCCTCCAATATAAAACGTAATCACTCAAATCTGCTATTTGATTAACATCAGCTATCACTAAACGATGTGATACGAATAAATGAGTGAGCAATTGCTGTTCATACTCTGGTAAAAGAAATTTTTCATCACATAAAATACAAGTACAATCTTTTGGTTCATCTGTCTTGAAAATTGTAGCAACTTTCGCCTGTTGGTGTAAAGTCAGGGGTCCGAAAAACTGTTTATCAACTCCTGTTGCCATATTTTGATATAAGAATGCTAGTGCCACTTAAATATAATTTATTATATTAATTTATTTACAAATCTATAACTATACAACCATACACAACACCCGTCGTGACATTGACAATGACAAAAACCGTCTGTCAAAGACTCAAAGAGTAGTCACAAGCCAATCCAGTGTTATGCCTACACTAAATGTAAACGTTATTATTTGTTTTAAACTAGTTTTCGCCCGCGACTTCGTCCGGGGTAATTAAAAACATTATTAGTAGCCTTTATTATTCCTGACTATGTTTTACTTTTGTGATTTCTAGTGAGATCCGCTGAGCCGTTCTGGAGATAGTAACAGACATATCCATCCATTCACTTTCGCAATTTTAGTATAAATATTACGCGCATAACTTACCTTTTATTATAACTTATTTAAATTATTCATGTTTAAGGGTTGGGCCACTAGACTTTTTATGAAAATTTTAATATTTAAAAAATAAAAGAAATAGTTACATTTTAAATCATACTTTATTATAACTCACTAAAATTACACTCCGTAAAAGTAATAGGAACTTACGAATGTTATTTTAATTCTAATGTTTAAATGCCACTATGGGTATGTTTATGTTATTTTAGAACAAACAAAATTGTCTTAAATATTAATACAAATACTTAACTATACAATAAATATTACAAAAATATCTAGCTTCAAAAAATATTGCAAAATTTAAACATTTTTATTATCAACTGATCAAATTAGCCCGTAAATCTTTTCATTACATATTGAATGGAAACTCATTTGATTTTTTCATCAAAAACCACACACAACTAATACGCGGTGAATATTCTTTTAAAAAATATTTGTTATATATTGCATTTCAATTGAAATAGATAATTTTACTTTATACACTATTTACAAAAATCCTTATAAATCTAATTAGTTATAAGATCACAAAAATAATTATACAGGCGACTCACATTTCTTCTATTCAAAATAATATTTGATACATCTAACATAGAATAAAATGATTCGAATTTTATTAAAAGAGCAGAAAAAGTCATTTGTATTTCTATCAATGTACATAGATATCTGATTTCGTGATCGAATTGAAAATCTTTAATTGTAAAATATAATACTGATTAACTATCGGCAGATTACTGAAACGACTTTAAATATCCACAGCATCTTTAATGATAAGGCCAAGTTTTAGAGCTTTTGTACAACTTTGACTAAACTATCGCACAATTGTTTAGTCTCGCTTTGATTACCATAACCTTATATGGCATCTCCATACACACTACTCGATTTTAGTCATGCAACCAAACAGTTGAATTGTCTGCGAAACAATTCACACTGACACAACAGTTATGCGATAGTTTAGTCTAAGGTGTGCGCCCGGTTAGTAGTCGTAAGACAATTGTTGGGTGATAGTTCATTCTTCTTTACAAGACGCGTTGGTGTCCACATATAGAATATTGTATGGGACAGAAGATCCTTTGTTCGATGCTGTCACTTGGATACCGTATTTCCTTCCCGGCTTTAATCCTGTCACCTTCTTGGTTATGACCCTCGTTCTGAAATGTTTTTTTTATTTACACATCATTTTTCGCATAGATATTGACCATAGATAACTACGTTCTTTTACAGACTCGACATAAAAAAAAAACTCTATGCATAATTTCATTTCAAGCATGAATTAATTTCAAAATTTGCAATATGTATGCTTAATTATTTTTATAGGATAAATCCTAAACTAAACTAGATTACTTTAACGAATTTACTTTTCGCAATACGATTAAGTAGATAACTTCTAAAATAAACTAAGAAATTAGAAATGATTTGGTAAAATTAAACAGTCTGGGTGTCGTAGCAAGAACCTCACGACGCGCAGGTTTATTGGATTAAGTTCTAACTTGGAGCTACGTTGATAACTTTATTAAGTTCACCTTTCGGATATTCGATACCTTCTCTAGAGAGACTTCGGAGCCGAATTATTTCGATAGATAGTTCGAAACTAACTTTTGAATTGTACCTACGAGCAAATTTTTAATCTTTGAATTTTATCTTTTTTTAAACTGATTAATATTTTACGTTCTATAAACGTTATAATTAGCGTTCTTTTATTATATTTTAGAGCGAGCAGACCTTTGACTAAAATACACACTGTTGGGCGATTGTCTTTTGTTTCTCCGTCAATTCAAATATTTAGTTGCACAACTACTAAATGGAATAGTTTGCGCATATAAGCTTATAGGAATCAAAGAGCGACTAAACAGTTGTTTGATAGTTTAATCAAAGGTGTGCGCCCTTATAGTTATATTAAAATCAAAACATACGGTGTTCTTTGCACGTGATTGACGCATTGTGATTTTGTTTTCCTTGTGGTCATACAAATGTTTTCTCTGCTTGGACTCTCGCGTGCTACGATACAATATCTATAAGAAAAAACGCATACATAAAAATATATACATATAATGGGACGTTGCATAACGTTGGACACAATGATGGAGTTTTATAAATACACTTGAAGCTAATAGAAAACAGAATAGTTAAAGAATTAAGAAATTTCTTTATGTAACATGTATATTTAGGTCAATAATTATGTTGGTATAGTTTTTAAAACAATGGTACGGGTTATCTTACTTTATTCCACTCGTAGCGTTATGTATTGCCGGTAAGAAAGCAATGTCAACAGACTTGCAAGAACGCCGCGGCCGCAACTCTCTCACAATACCTCCTTCGTCAAACAGCTCGGGGGAACTGATACCCCATCTTGTTGTAGAAGTAACCAACTAAAGAAAATTATAGTTGCTCTTGAATTTACTTATTATGAAGTGACAACTTCTTAATATCTAGATAGAAATGGAATTTTGTAAAATTGGTTATGACTATTAAAACAATTATAACGCTGTAAACTGTTACCTCAGTTCTATTAAATGTTTCAGTATCCAAGCGATATAGCCAGGTCAAAGAAAATGATTTTGTTAAAACCTTGGTTATAATACATTTAAACTTTGTGCATTCAAGAGGCGACATTAGTCCCTTCCCACCCTTTTTTAAAAAAAAGGAAGGAAGGGAGAGTGGATTTAATGGTGGAGGGGATAAATAAGAAGAGGAAATATTTTAAAATGTGTCTTCGTTGATTGAAGTTAGGCAATGGTCACTTGCTCGTTTGCCACCCTAGATATAAAAAATAAAAAAAGTTTTGCCGTTACCTCAACATTAACACTTTCATCTCTATTCCATTTGCTGGGCACGACACGTATGACGTAACGGAGTTTAGTTTCTTCAGAACTGGAGTCAAACTGAACTGAACCTTCGTCACTGGTCTCTTGGATTGATGACGTCATCATCGGTGCAGCCACGAAGAACTTCGAATGTGGTTCTGTTCCAGAAAAGCTTAGATTACATTTCGTTTAAAAAACAAATAAAGAAAGAAAATAAATAATGAAAATGAATGAAAATGAAAGTTAACCATATCTATATCTGTATAAATTTTTTAAAGAGTAAAGATTTATATTTTGAATGATTTTATGTATTAAAAAAACTCAAAAACTACTGGTCTGATTTTAAAAATTGTTTTACCATTACAAGGTTACATTACTTCTGAGTAACATTTTACGTGGACGAAGTAGCGAGCAACAGCTAGTTATTTCATAATTGCAATGATACATACCAATGCTTTTAGCCATGTACAGCCGTTTTCCTCTTACTAACACTTCAATATCGACTGCTCCGCCACAAGAAGAGACTGCGACCCAAATCCCGCCCCCCACTCCTACTCCTGCCTGCGAAAATAACTTTGTACTAAAATCTTACTGACATTATAAATGCGAAAGTTTAAATAGATGTATGTTTGTTAGAGTATAAAGTTGGTGAACGGATCTCAATAAAATGTAGCATAGATGTAAAGGATATTCTGGAAGAACACATAAGTTACTTACTTTTTTTTAAAAAATCATTTAAAGTGGACGGAATCGCGGGCGTAAGCTAGTAAAGAAGAAAGTAGACTTGGTCTTTCTTCATAATTTTCTTTAAATCTACTGTTAAATCGATTTGTAAGATAACATCGTTAATTTAAAACCATCTAGAATTATCTAACTAATCTATGTCAGAATTCTTAATCTATAATAGATTTAACTTAACATCACAGACATCTTTAAGAGTTAATTTACTCTTTGCCATTGAGTTTTATTAAATCGTTGTATTTTGTATGAATTTACAGCAAGAAATTAACAGAATGAATGTCTTAATACATTTAACTTTTCTTTGTATATTACCTTGAAATAGTAAACAGTTTTCCCTCTGATTTCATTTCTCAAAGGTACGTTTTCGCGCAGTCTTTTAGCGGTGGACGTGCGAGGTCGGACGCTGCCCGTGGCTAGAAGAGATCCAGCCCTTCTATCTCTCGACACACCAAATATGCTCACGAAATAAGTCTGTTAAAACAATATAACTAATATTTTTAACCTAATTTAGCGGAGTTTTATAGCGAAAAATATTATGTGTTACCAACATACTAAAATCAAAATCTGACATTTTCTCTAAATAGTTCAGTAGATTTTTTTTTAATTGGTTATTCGTCATACTGGACAGTATAATATTAAAGGTTCCAATAGTAGGTTATTTGAATATTTTAGAATTAATTTTATAGTTTCTTTTCGCAGCTTTTAAACTAACTAAATGTTAACATTTATGAATACACCATTTTCTTTTTAATTATGTTATTTTGTGAGGAAACGTATGACTGTTTAGACATCTGGTTTCTAAATTTAAAAAACAAACGAGGAAAAGAATAATACAATTCTTCTAATAATATAAGCTTTTAAATGGATGGATGGATGTTTGTTGCTATTAAATTTGGATCAATCAGAACACAGTCTGGAAGAACACATAGACTACGTATTACGTTATTGTATACACGGAAAAAGTCGCGGGTTAAATCTAGTCTTAAATATTAGGAATTAATACTTACTATACTTGGATCCAGGTTTTCTATAACATGGTGAGTTCTCTCGCCGACACAAGCTATTAGAGGATCTACACTGCTAACTTTGGTACTTCGACCTGAAAAATAATAACTTTTTTAGGGCCTGTCCCACCAAATTGTAAATTTGATAACAATCGAACGTGTAAAAATATGTGATGGAAATATCCGATTTTGTTATCTTATCTGACGTGACGTCATTTTTAAGCTATCTGAGCTTTTATCAGCCAGTGGAGGGACAGACCCTTGAAATTGTCTTTTAGAGAGGAATCTTACTGATGTTATAAATGTGAAAGTTTAGATGGATGGATGGATGGATGTTAGAGTTTGTAGCCTAAACGGCTGAACGGATCTCTATGAAATTTGGCATAGATGTAGAGGATAGTATCGAAGAACACATAGGCTACGCACTTTTCTTTTTTTTAATTCCACGCGGACGGAGTCGCGGGCGAAAGCTAGTGTTATAAAAAATCTACATTAGACATATTTCACTGAAGATAATTTTGAATGACTAGTGTTTGTGTTGCTTAATTATTGTAAGGAATTATTAATTAAAAGAATTATAAAATAGCGTTTAGGACAACATTTTACATACCGAACTTTTTCTTCCTATAAATGTTTTTAAAGTTGCCTTCGTAAATGTTAAATCCATCTATGTCCAGTTCTACTTTGTTGTCGATCTCAACTGAAGTACTGTGGGTCGCATTGCTCGATTCCCGTTGATTCGAGCTATCCATTTCTGGATTCGATCTATTTTCTTCAGAGTTGAAACGAGACGCTTTATTTTCTAAACGGCTCGCTCTGACATCGATTTGGGCAGCGCAAAGAGAAGTGTAATTCTTTCTGTGTGATGCAACCACGCAGTATGTCGTTGACTGCGGATCTATTGGACTGGAAAATAAGAAGGTTAATTACTAAACCGATGTTCTGATGATAAGTGTAAGTGACAAAGAAAGCTTGGTTGACACTCAATAAAAACAGTAAAGGCTGGCAGGAGATGGGAGATGCCTTTACCCAAAGAGGTGTTCATATTTAAAAATAATTGAATATAATAGACTAACAATACTCACAAATGGAATTGTTAAACGCTTTGTAAATATGAAAATAAAAAGGCTTATTAATAATAATTAGAGTATCAATCAAGTGAAAACTCCTTACTATTCAATAAGGTGATTATTACTAGCCTACGCAGAATATTTCCATATATGGTTAAAGGTTACTATTAATTTTTCTTTTTTAATTTTGAAATTATTTCATACCAAAAAAACTTTAACCTTAACCAATATAACTTAATGCCTTAATCGTCATATTTCTCATACATTAACATTTGTTTGCAAAAAATAACAACGGCCATAAAGGATTCAATGAGACATTGAAGTCAAAACCGCCATAGATAGTACTGATATTTTTATTTAGTTAAGATAGATTGTTTTGGCTGGAATACATTGTGGGACTAAACAGGTTGATCAAAGAGTATAAAAAATACAGAATGGAAGTACCATATCAACAGTAATACTTAATGTCGAAGTAATAGAAATAGTAAATAGTATGATCATGTCAACTGGTATCATCCGATTAAAAGTTTCGTCAATTACAGGCCATTGGAATAACTGAACGTAGGCACGAGAAAAATCGTTGTCGCAATTACGGGGATAACTGCTTAAGGGCCAATTATAAATTTCTATGTGGGATAGCGAACACTAGTGTTACGCTGCAGAAACGCGAGGCGTTTCGAAAATCCTATTGAAATACATTAAAGGTAAGATGAGTCTAACCGATTATAGTATGGTCAGATACTTTTGAAAAAGTCGTCCATACCTAATAGAGATCGGAATTTTTCAACGTTTCTTCATTTTGTTTTTCTATCAGTTTTTTAAATTGACTCCGAGAGCACATTATGTGGAATTTAAATCGTGAATTTGAAGTACGGTATGTGTCAATGCGTTCTACGCCGGCTTTTAAAAAAAATAACAATTGAACTCGTAATTTGTCAGCATAACAGAGTATACACTCTTTAAATTAAATGGGACTCAATTACATACTTATTCCACAGTTTAACTCCCTTATACGGTCACAAAACCTAACTTAATACAATTAAGCGTATTTTCAAGTTACGTAAATGGTTATCACCATGTGGATTGAATTTGCTGTCATCCGTTCAATTACTAGTTGAAACAGAATGATGTAAAAGGAGCCGCGGTTGTGTTAATTGCATGTAACTAATTAAATACCGAGACAGTACCAGTTATAACCAAATACAATAATTTATAGCGATTGTAAGTCGTAGCCGTTTTTATAATTTACATTTTAAAAAGTCACACGCAAATAGAACCATACTTGGGCTATACTGCACAGAACCTAATAAAAATGCAAGTCAAAGATGTAAAAACTATTCGAGAATGAAACCATAAAAGAAATCATTATTAAAACTGAGGCAAATTTAGTCAGAACTAGCTGTTCCCGTGCGGCTTCATCCGCATAAAATTATGAAAATTTTATTTTATTGTTTACATTTGTCAAATTATCAATAGCAAATGTCAAACTGACATGACATGACAAACCTTGGCAATCTTGTTTCCTTGATATTGGCAGCAACTTATGGCCACTTTCCCACATTAGGGTTTTTATCTAAAATATTTACCATCAAGTTTAATGGCATGAAAATATATAGCCTAAAGCGTGACGTAAGTAGGGCTTTTTATTAAAAAAAGAATTATTAAAAAATATGTTGTAATTGCTGACATCTTAGGCAACAAAGAAGTATGTGTTTACGCTTTATTATAATAGTATACAAGTATAGATAACCTTCGCCTGAGAATCCGTCCGCGTTAAATTAAAAACCAACAAGAGTGAGGAGTCTATGTTTTAGTGTAGATTATATTCTACATCTATGTCTAATTTCAGCTTGATCCGTTTAACGGTTTAGGCTACAATATCTAACAAACATCTATCCATCTAAACGTTTAAATATATTATTAGTAAGACTGAAATAGTGTTGTGAATTGAGGAACTAATTCTTCGAAAGTGAAAGATATATTATAAAAAATATCAAAACAGATAATGAAATTCCATCAATGCAATAAAATAACTTGATCTCCCAGAATAAATCACTATTTGGATTAACAGTTGCAATCCTGAGTTCAGGGTTATTATTGAATCGAGGGAAATCCTACTGTGAGGCTATAGGGATACAGTTGAAATTACTTTACCTTTCCATACGGATGCAAGAATACAAAAAGTTGATGGAATGATGCTTGCCTATAGTGAGTGTTTATTCTATTTAAACCAGGGAATGGTATTCGCTACATATAGTCGCCATGAGTTAAAGACGGTTTAAGAGTAATTACAAACTTACAAGATTCAATATGTAATTGATTTTATTACACCTTTAGAGCGGGCGTACTTCTTTGACTAAACTATCAGACATCAGTTGTGTGATTGTCGATTGTTTTGCTGAAAAATTCAACTGTTTAGCTGCACAACTAAAAAACGAGTATCCTATCCTATTTGGATGCGCACACTACTCGTTTTTTTTTACTCCTTACGTATAGGACTTTTCCTAAAAGTACTTTTACTTTAGACTTTACTTTTTACTTATAGGAATCAAAGCGTGACTAAACAGTTGTGCGATAGTTTGGTCAAATTGCGCGCTCTTATTAAACCAGTTTTAAGAGTATCTATGACTGTTTTAAAGATTAATATTTTTGAAATCTATACTATTATAATAAAGCGTAAACACACACTTTGTTGTCTAAGATGTCAGCTATTACAGCATATTTTCGAATAACACTTTTTTTTAAATAAAAAGCCCTACACTTACGTCACGCTTTAGGCTATATATTTTCACGCCGTTAAACTTAGAGGTAAAAATTTTGGATAAAACCCTAATGTGGGAAAGAGACCATAAGTTGTTACCAACATCTAGGAAGCAAGGTTGCCATGGTTTGACATCACGTCATGTCATTTTGTCATTTGCAATTGATAACTTGACAAATGTGAACAATAAAACTATTTTTATTTAATTTTATGCGGATAAAGTCGCATGGGAACAGCTAGTAATAATCTTAAGGTAGTAAACGTGATGGTATAATGTATTTTTTTATAATTTTCAGTACTTCTTATAAATTCACTGAAATTAAATTAACTAGGAAGAATATAGTAAGTTTCATTATAAACTTGAAATTATTTGAATCAATGGATTCAAATTAATGATTTTTTTTTTGTAATTAATAGACCACGGTTATTTGTTTTTTATGTGTTAATGTTTTCCCATTGCCCTAATTCGGTATTAATCATTGTGAAATTATTATCTAATATACCTATTAAAACATACTGGATTTTGCCTTCGAATTCGTCCGCTAAATAAATAGTCGCCGTTAAATAGTCTATGAGATCCGTTAAGCCAGGGAGACAAACATGACTGGCAACCTGCCCCGGCTTCGCACGGGTCCAATGCTGTACGATATATGTTTACGAAATCACATTAGGTATCTGTAAAGTTATCAGTATATTATTACTATATTATAGACTAGTTGTTGCTCGCGACTTCGCTCGCGTTATATTAAAATATTTAGCGTATGTTACTAACAGATAAATTACCTTTCTAACGGTGAATTAATTTATAAAAATGGCCCAGTAGTTTATGAGTTATTTCAATACATACAAAAATACAAATCTTTCCTCTTTATAATATTAGTATAAATGTGTTATTCATATTAATCAATTTTGAATCAGTTTATTTACTAAACTCTATCATACGTTGCATAGTAAAGATCTAAGTATAGTGGCAGAGAGCGGAAAGCGGTTTTGTTTTATACGTTAAGTATGATTTTATAGACTTTAAATTCTTAAACCGTTTTATGTTGAGATATCAATGTTATTGGTAGATTCCATTGCTAAGCTTGGTCAATTACTTACCTTAAATGGTAGGGTTGTTACACGATAAGGCGGACGCGAAAAACAGAAAGCGGGTTCATTGTACTGTCTTCGCGTTAGTCATTACAAAGGTAGTGGTTACATTGGTGTGAATTTTCCTAAGCAATTACATGGTATTTAATATTATTTTGAACAAGGACTTATAGAGAATATGTTAAACTATTTATAACAAGATTATTTTTAATAGTAATGCAATTGTTTTGACATAATTGTTTACTTTGTATATAATAAAAAAACATTTTTAAATAATTGTAATTGTTGAATTTGTCATTAAAAAATTGTTCGTAAAATAACAGATTGTTTTTATTCTGTACTAATATCATGAAGAGGAAGGATTTGTATTTTTGTATTTTTGTGTTTTTGTATTTGATGGAATAACTCAAAAACTACAGGACCGATTTCAACAATTCTTACATTATTAAAAAGCTACGTTATCAGTGAGAAGCATAGGCTATATTTTTTATTACTTATTAATTTCACACGGAAGAAGTCGGGAACTACAGCAGCTTATATATCTTATAAACAACTAACAACAAAGTAAGATAAAAATTTTAACGGAATTGAAGACTTATTAAAACCTAGAAGTGCCGTGTGACTTTACCCTTGGCAAGATATATCTAATGCCATGTAGGGCATATCATAAATTCATCTATACTTGTTCTTGTGACGAACATACAGTCCGTCGTATTGGTCCGCGAGAGTTATGGCTAACGGTGCCACCGCACTGACAGCTTTTTTATTGAGATATTTTGTTCTGGTAACAGTGATTTAGGATCGCGATCTCACAGTTAACAGTTGCCACAGATTAATAAACTACTGAACAGTCACTTGTTTTGTACGACGTTGCGTTGATTTCTTGACATATGGTCTGTCTACCAGATTTAATGAGCTATGTTTTTCAAAGATTCATCTTAGCGTAAATGTCTGTTAGTAATTGTGTTATTTATAATCTCATTGGTGGTTCTTTTCTAGTCAAGTGTGATTTAAAACTAATCAATGTAAATGGTTCGTAGGCCAGAGGGAAAGATATATAATAATGACAGTTAAAATTTACAATTTCAATTAAGCTAAACAGTCATGCTATAAAATCTACTTTTCCCTTGTAAACTTCGACAATAGGTATTCATAAATCTGTCTTTTAGGAGATATAACTTTAAATATTTATATCTTGAAAAACAATGACAAAGTTAACATAAGTAGACATAAATCAAATCACATGAACTCAATAAAAATAATCTTAAGATAAAGTTATATAGTTCAGCTTCTTTAATTTAATAAAGGATTTAGTTACCTTAAATGGATGGATTGGAAAGATATGCTTAAGAATGGATTGGATTTAGATGTGACGGTTGATAAAAATATATAGAAGAGCAGATGATAAGTTACCTTGGATCCCAATTGGCGGAAAGCCTCCGCCGCGATCGCACCCGTAGTCGTAGCCGAACCCGTCTTATGGACTCGCCTCGCACACTCACCGCCACCGTCCCACCATTAGATGAAGATAACTAAAAAAAAAAAATTTACTGATATCGAAAGTTAAGATGTTTGTTAAAAGGTATATAGAACGACTAAACATTCTGGATAAAATTCGTCACAGATATAGAGCAAAGTCTGGAAGGACACATATACTAGTTATTTTTATGTTGTTTTCATCGCGGACAGAATTTGTTATTGATACGATTCAGGCCCTCAAAACATCATGTGAGTTTGGTTATGCCAGCCAGTATTTGATGGTGAAGCTAGTATTTTCTTTTTTTTTTTTTTAATAATGAGTTATCAAACGAGAATATGCCACCTAGCTCTGCCGAAATAGTAAAGCGATAGTTGTCCCTTGACATCCGTAATTCCATGGGTTGCTATTTTAATCGACATAGAGGCACAGAAAGTGGACACTTCCCCCTTTGGTGTGCTCCCTCCGTCAAATCCACTTCCCCACCCAATCTTATAAGAAAAAATTTGGTAGGAAGGGTTGATGAAAATATTAAAAAAAAATCCAAATTGGGGATCACTAATTACTCAATTAATTAAAACAAACAAAATAAAACCAGTTACGATTTCTTACATTTTCACGTCAGTTATTAAGAAATAATATAAACCAGTTTATCAGTGAGCATTAAGAAAAAGTTTATTAAATTGCAGTATGAAAAATGTAGTTAGCTTTAATTCCAGTACTTCAATGACCGAGTTACAATTTATAAATAATGCTTAGTAAAAGTGTTGGCAAATAATTTACTGCCTTATTTAGGTGTAAACTAGTCGATTATATTGACTAATTAAATATAAATATTATAATATTATTAATTAAAAACTATAAATATACAAGTTTTTAAATAAAAAAATCGTGCATGAAAAGCATACCTGTTCTAGGAGTTTTTACATGTTTTTAGGTCTCAAGCCATTAGAAAAAAAAAGAATTTAAATTATTTGAAATTAGAACACATTCAATTCAATGCCATCGTATTTTCTATGCCTTTTCTGTACATATTTTACCAATACACATATCTCCGTTAAAAATAATTTTATTTCTAAATCTTTTACGATATACATTTTGGTCCTTCGAGCCGGATAAACAACTTCATTAATACCCATAAATATTTATTTTTTATTGGCTTCTTCCGTAGGTTTCCAGTTCTGGGGACTAGCACGAAAATTTGCAAAAAAGTAGTAAGGCATCTAAAAAATTTATTATCAGATTTGTATGCCCATTGAGCGTAGAATATGACAAAGTCTTGTACAAACTTTTAATAAAGTTTCGGTAGTTTTTTGAAAACTTTCGTGCTTTGTCCTCTGTATAAATGTCTAGTAATTTGCTCATTAAAAAAGTATAACATACCTGTAGGATATATTTCTCTTGTCGTCGTATAAGTAATGAAAATGTTTTCATATCTGTCCCTTCATATTCTTGTAGTAGACTTAAATTTCCTATAAAAGTAACAAGGATTTAATTTATTTTTCATATTTTTCCATTTACATTTAACTATACTGATGTTGTAAAGAGTTTTATATTTTTATATGTATTGAAATAACTCAAAAACTACTGGACCGATTTCAAAAATTCTTTCATCATTTAAAAGCTACATTATCAGTGAGTAACATAAGCTATATTTCTTATTTTTTTTTAATCTGGCGCGGGTGAAGTCACGAGTAACAGCTAGTAATTTCTAATTAACTATTTCTATAATATAATTAAGATCATAGTTTACCTTCATTGTCGACCACACTTCCTCTATACAGCCCCCAGTGGAACGAAGAGGAGCACGGACTGACGGTAATAAAAACGTGGGACTCTGATATTAACGAAGTGTTCAACTCGAGGCTGTAATTGAATTAAATTCTATTTAGTCAAAAACTAATGATATATTTATATGGACTACTATGAAACATTAAATAAACATATGATATAATTACAAGTGTCATTTACATTAACAACTTTTATGACTAATATTTCTGTTATGTTGAATGTTTGTGTCTTTAAAAAATAAAAAAAACAAACAAACGAATTGAGTATTTCGTAATTCTTTTGGTCGGTTAAAAATACAATCCTCAATGAGTAAATGCTTACTTAAATCTTGTTATACTTTGAAAGGATCGAAAAATGAAGGGCAACACTCCTACATAAATGCATGGAATACGTCCTTAACACGATCTCAGCTACTGCCTTTATATGGTACCAATGCTCCTAGAACTTACATGGTATTCGACTCCCAACAAGTTTAACTTATAAACCTGGCACGTGCGATATTTACTATTTTTGTATGTAAACAATAAGAATCAATAAAAAACACTTTCAAGAAATATCCTAGGTTGTTCAACTGAAGTGTTTTAAACTCGTTGTTGTGATAATAAAGTTTCAACTTGTATTGTACTAGGATCTCATAGATTATAAAAGAGAAGCAGACTAGACATAAATGGTATTTGATACTTATTTATCAAAGAGTAAAGATTTATTTAACAAACACGTTGGTGACGAAGGCCTAATTTTAGTCCCTTTCCCTTTCCACCCTTTTCTTAAGAGAAAAGGATGGGAAGGAAAAGTGGATTGGACGGTGGAGGAGACGCATAGTAAGGGGAAATGTCCTCTCCGTCCTCCTTGTCTCCTCCTCCGTCAATTAAGGATAGGCAACGCATTTGCAATTCATTTTATGGGCAGCCGTCGCTTACCATTTCGGTAGATTCAGGTGGCTTGCTCGTTTGCCACCTTATATTATAAAAAAACATAACAGATGAGATTATTTGGTCTGAACGTGATTCCGACAGACGTTACAGTGGCAGATGGCGATTAAATGACAGAAGGACTTTGCAATATTAGCTTGTATAAAACGTATTCCAATACCGTATCTATCGCGTGGCAATCGCAGTCAGGTTTTAGAGTTATATGACGGAATCTCGCCTTTAATCACAAAAAGCTGCAAATATTTGCAATCATGTGCCTTCATGTCTTGCAGATAGTAGAATATTTTACTTCAAACAACAAACATTTTACATACAAAAAGTTTTCAGTAGTGAAGAACTTTTTTTAATCATAAACTTCTTAACTGTACAACTCTCTGTTTCAAATACAAGACCGCCTTGAGTTTGATATTAAATTTTAGTAATTTGAAATTCAATAAATGACCCCGCTTGACCGGTCAGGTTCTAACAAAATCTATTTTACATAAGCACATATTCATAGAAGCTATAGAACTTCGATTAATATGTAACTTAATATTATACGCTTAAATCGTAAACTATCTTATTAATCTTACTAAAATATAAATGCGAAAGTTCAGATGAATGTTTGTTAGAATTTGTATCCTACTGCTCGGATCCTATCCTACGGATCTCGGTAAAATTTGCCATATATAGTCTGGAAGAACACATAAGCTACTCACTTTTGTTCTTTTATTTCCATGCGGACGGAGTCGCGAGCGAAAGCTAGTTATATATCATACTAATATTATAAATGCGAAAGTTTAGATGGATGGATGAATGTTTGTAAGAGTTCTGGATGAAATCTGATGATCTCATAGATGTAGAGGATAGTCTAGATTAACACATAGGATACCAATTTTTTTTTTCTTAATTCTTTGCAGACGGAGTCGCGGGCGAAAACTAATCTAAATATATAAGTAACTAAAGAAAGACTTCAGAAATATACCTACATTATTTTGCTTCGCAAACGACAGTTTTCTGATCAGTCCCTGTCCCTAGACACTTGAAAAATATTAAGATGTTCCCTTTATACGTTTGTGATTTAAGAAAGCTGTACCTTTTACTTTCTCCTCTGTCCAATTTGTAGAGCGTCTGATTGTCTATAGGCAGCCAGTGTCGGTCAATTCTGGAGCGAAGGCGAGTGACAAGTACGCTTGGTGCGGCCAACCCTGCACCCGCCGCTTGTAGAGCGATTAACACCGCAAGCCGAGTACTTAAACTGCTCATGTTCCTGTAACAAATAATACTAATATTATACATGGGAAAGTTTAGATATATGAAAAACAATGTAACTGCTACCCAAAACGATTCCCATTTATTTCGTACCCGTTAACCCGTTGATCGAAGTACAATGCAATTTGCGTCCGAACACTTAGAGGTTTGAACAATAGGTTTGGTTACCCGACATCTATTGGAGTGTTATTTGAGGCTATAAACAACGATTCCATTTCAGATCCATATTATTAAACAGAAATAGAATTACAAGAATCTTTTGATATTGCTTAGGATTTTTATATCTACATGATTTGCTAGCATTTTAAACACCAATATACTAAGTACAAGGTGTTGCCCGCGTCCACGCAATATTAAGATTTGAAAAAATACCTATAATATGCCCATCTATGTCTGCCCTTCAGTGAAAGTCTGGTCGACATAGGCCTAGTCATTTCGGAGATTACTCGGAACAAACAAGGCTTGCGGCAGACAGACAAGTTTTTTTTTAATGCTTTTTAGCAACGCAAATACATCATTTTCCCGAAATCTGGAATTGTTCTTTTGATATTACAAACAGACACACCAATTTTATTATACGTATAGATTTACAAAGCGTTTAACAATTTCATTTTATTAGTATTGTTAATCTACAATACTAATTCAAATATATGTAGATAGAAAAATCAAACGTGTTGATATTTTTTTAAATAATAATTAAACATGCGTTTATAACACGTAGGTAGGCGTTCGCGTTTTCAATTTATTTCTTAGTTAAAATAAGTTCGAAAGTAATAAAAGTTTTAATTACAATAACAAATATGCCGCGGAAATTAACTTCTATCTATTAATTTTATGGTCCTGACGGTCGCGAGTTTACGATCGCAGCGCCCCCAACGTCGGCGATCGCGGTAATAACTAAGTTTTATTGTAAACATGTGGCCATTCATTCATTAAAATGGCGCTTCGTTAAATTTTATTATAATTAGTTATTTATTTAATCGCTTTCTTGCGTACAATCTTAGCTTATTGAATCAATGTAACTTCGAAATTTTGTAAAGTTTGATTGTCTCTGGCAACACTACTAAAAGTTACGTCACCGATTTTACTGAGAAATTTTTATTCCCTTCTGTTTCATTTACAACGAAAATCTCGTCAGCTAAGAGCCAAGTAAGGCAGTATGAGATATTGTCATTGATTTTAGAATTAGTGAATTAACGATTAAATTTAGAACAAGTAAATTAACGTTATAAGGATGAAAGATTTAGAATATTGGATTTTCGTTTGTATTGAAATAACTTACAAACTACTGGACCGATTTCAAAAATTCTTGCATCATTAAAAAGCTATGTTATCAGTGAGTAACATAGGCTACATTTTTTCTTAAGTTCATGCCGGTGAAGTCGCTAGCAATAGCTATTAGTAATAATAATAAACATTTAGTCAGCTCAAAAACACATCGCATACTTTCCATTTAGGTGGATTCAGTTGGCCGTTTGCCACCTTATATTATAAAAAAAGTAAGTAGTAAGATCATTGCATTTTTTGTTGTTGTAATAAACAAGATTTTTACACATACCTAGGTATAGTTAATATTGTACAAGTACTAACGATGCGGTCATTAATTACTGGATGGCACACGCCACTATCAATTTGTCTCCTTTATTACTTCTACTTACGTTTGACAGTTAAAAGATTAGCTCCCAGCGGACCTAGCCTATGAATCTGTTTCCAGACCTAAGCATGTTTCGTAACAAGCTATTCGTAATAATTAATTATCTATATTTTTTATTGCATAGGTGACATTAAAACCTCCTTAGTTCTTCCTAGACTAAGAAGGTTGTTCGAAATACAATATAATCGTCGTAAGTCGTAAATAAAAGCACGAAGCAAATTTGTTTTTTTCTTTTTACAATAACAATCAAACGCGTTTACGTAAGAAACTCACATTTTGGAAAACCTCATGTTAGATTGGGCGATGGGGGAGGGGGTATAAAAATCTCATGACATCTCACCAGGGGGAAGGAGGGGCAGAAAATTAAAAAACACCTCACGTAATTTATGGAGGCCCCCTTTCTTTTAATCCATACATCTCTTACTAGGCCGCCAGAGATGTTTCTCCCTTGTTTACAAACGAAAGTGATTGCCCAAAGTCAAAAGTCGCACTAAAGTTAAAAAACTTACGAATTTACGAACGCTTAAGTTGTTACAAAAAGATTAGATACAAAAAGTTTTTAATGTACCCTCAAGGGATGTTGAGAACTATCGAGTCACCAAACTTAGATTGTCTTCGAATTTAAGTTAGTGTGAAAGGTTTAAAGATTATAGCTTTGAACAGAACGTAACTTTTAGTTTTTTTACGTTTACGACTACTGATTTTTTTTCGTTACCTTTTTGTAGATTTAAAATAAGTACCATTAACACTTTAAAATCATTGCAAGTGAATATATGAGGCTCTCATTTATGGTTTTCAACAGATTTTTTTTATGATTTTGCTTGTATAGGCGTCGGCAACTGATAATTTTCATGTCTAGAAGGGCCGGGGGGATAGGTTCATGACAGGGTACATGACATGATATTTGACTGGTTAGGGGGATGGGTTAGCAGTATTTTTTTAATTTGGATTACGGAGAGTGCTATAATGGAAAACTGACAAGTTATTTTTGAATTATCTACGTGGGTTCCTGAACTTTGGAGACACCTTAGCTATTTTTGATTAATTCTAATATTTATTTTACTTTCAACAACTTGGGGGGAGGGGGAGGTCAGCAATTCTGTACTAATGAAAAGCACTTAGGCGACATTTATTACCTAAGTATAATTTGTTCTGTACTTATATAATTTCAACTTGTAACTTACACCACTTTTACAAAAAGAGCTTAAGTTGCGAACTTACAAAGGAGAAAACAAGTGTAAGCACTTCTCGAGTAACTTAGTTTCAACTCTTAACATCTTTATAACAGTTAAAAACTATTTGCTAACAAGTTAAAGTTAAAATCAGTAAGATAATAATCAAGATTGAAAGGAAGTTTTTTAGAGAGGGGAGATAAATTTTTAATATTGATTTTTCCCACTGTTACACTAATTGTATAAATTTATACTAGTACCAATGATAAAATCTTCTTTGTTTTCTGATAAACACAAACACTATCTATACTATTATAACAAAGCGTAAACACACACTTTTTGTTGCCAAGATGTCAGCAATTACAGCATATTTTTGAATAATTATTTTTTTAATAAGCCCTACACTTACGTCACGCTTTAGACTATATATTTTCACTTAGCGGTAAATATTTTGGTTAAAAATCTTAATGTGGGACAGAGACAATAAGTTGCTGCCAACATCAAGGAAGCAAGATTGCCACGCTTTGTCATCATGTCATGTCATTTTGACATTTGCAATTGATAATTTGTCACATAAAACAACAAAATAAAATTTTCATAATTTTATGCGGATGGAGTCGCACGGGAACAGCTAGTATTATAATAAAGCGTAACCACACACTTCTTTGTTGCTTAAGATGTCAGCAATTACAGCATATTTTTGAATAATTCTTTCTTTAATAAAAAGTCCTATACTTACGTTACGCTTTAGGCTATATATTTTCACGCTATTAAACTTAGAGGGTAAATATTTTGGTTAAAAACCTTAATGTGGGAAAGAGACAATACGTTGCTGCCAACATCAAGGAAGAAGATTGCCAAGGTTTGTCAAGTCATGTCATTTTGACATTTGTTATCAAAATATTTAAATTTCATAACTTCACGCGGATGACGTCGCACGGGAACAGCTATTTACAATAACTGATAAAACTGCATTTTTGAAATAAAAACGTTGTTACATTGCTTTACAATTTGCTCTCTCATTCGCGCTTAAATCCTCTTGTTGTTTTTTTAATTCAAATTAAGTCTATTACTTTCTTGGCGGCCAGTGCATTATTATTCATCCACAATATTTTTGCAACTTAAACAATTATAATTTTACTTTTAACTATCTTAAAAAAATATGTTACTATTTAATGTAATAATACATTTTCTTTCAAATTAATAAAAATATATTTATAACTTTTGTCAGCGCCATCTGTTATCAATAACTGCATAACCACTAATTTTGTTAAATAACTCTTGTATTGTGCTTGTCTTAGTGTTTTATTTCTTTGCTTTTTTACCTCATGTATGTAGAATTCTATAGATCATTCCATTACCGAACGAATGAGTCATTAAGAAAACATGTTGCTATGAATCATAGGGAACCTTATAGTGATGTTTTTTTCTTTTAAGATTACCAGATCAGTGTAGGCAATTAATTAATCTTAATCTACAATTCAAACACATACAACAATCTTCACTTATTATTTTAAAGAAGAAAGATTTGTGTCTTCATTTCCGCGCGGACGGAGAAGCTAGTTTGGTATAAACGTCAACTCTTGTGTCTGGTTTGAAATTTCAATAATTAAAAATGCCTTTATTAAAACACGCATGCTCTTTTTCGTTCCGTGGACCAACAACTACAATATCATACTAACATTATAAATGCGAAAGGTTAGATCGATGGATGTTTGTAAGAGTTTCTAGCCTAAACTGCTGAACGGAACTCGATGAAATTTGGCATAGATGTAGAGCATAGTCTGGAAGAACACATAGGCTACTTACTTTTGTTTTTTTAATACCAAGCGGACGGAGTCGCGGGTGAAAGCTAGTTTATAATATTTTATGAATTGTTTCCTATTGTTCGATTTTATAAGTCACAATCGAAGTCTAAATAATCTGTGAGAACGGATTCCAAAGAGTTCAGTACTCTATGGACGGCATTAAACCTTACTCATATGAAAAAACCTTGTGTTTTTATTTTAAATTCCGACACCCGTAACACTGTGCCGTTCAATAATTTCATATTGCAGAATGACCATAAATTTGCACGGGCTCACCACAAGAGGTCATTGTTTTATGAACGCAGCTCTATAAATCTTTGAGTGTTTAACGGCCGAATATTGAAACGACTAACGAAACA